CTGAGCTTGTCGATCAGAAAGGTCGGCAATTCGACGGTTCGAATCCCTAGCGCCGCGTAACGGAGTGAGCTCCCGTGACTTGTCCCAGCTTCTGCCAACCTAGCAGTTCGAAAGCACGTTAAAAAATGCAAGTAGAAAAATAGGAACCACCTTTGGTGGGAAGGGAACAGCGTTCCGTGCGCCTGTCGGTGTTGAATCATGCCGGCCACATGACCACGGAGACGTCTTCGGACAGCGCCGGCTCTTCGGCTTTGAAACGGAGAGGAGCACCGGCGCCTGGAGTCAGGAATGACTGGCACAGATGTTCAAGGGAGCCTTTACCTTTAAGGATTGCCTGCAGGTGATAATCTAAATGGCAGCAGGAAAGAAACAAGCACGGGATTGATCTGGATTTTAATGAGACAATTTTAAAAGTCCAGCAAAAACCACACGGGATCTCGGCCAGGGCAGGAGTAAAACCACCACAAGGAAGAGGAGAAAAAATAAACATATTTCTGACATTATTAAGGAAGCTGTTTCGGGGGCTGCGGCAAAATGGGGTTATTTCTGGAGCAGCCGACAAAAACTCGGATCCTGGAACGTCCTTGGCCTTAAGGCAGCCCTTCTGCTAAACTGCAGGCGGATGTTTGCAGCTCCCCGTTCCCACGGACGTCGTCCGGAGACCAGGGAAAGGAGATGGACACGACATTCTGGGCTCTGGACCATGTGAGGGAGGAAGAGCACGCCAGGGAACGGGAAGTCGGTGTGCGTCGGAGGGCTAGCTTGGTGGGGCGAAGGTCCAATGCACACACCCATCGCCTCCTGCGGGATGGGGGGGAGGAGGAGGAGGAGGCCTTGGGGATGGTTAAGGGGCTCCCCCTGCAAAGATGAGCTCCAGGGCGGCCTGGATGTCCCCCCCGGTGGCCTGCAGGGCACGAAGGCTCAATTCATCATCATGGATGCCCATGTCTCGCAGCTGCTGCAGCTGGGGCTGCCACTGGCTCTGAAAGAGGAAAGCGGACAGATGAAGAGGCACCAGGTCAAACACCGGATGTAGCCGGGCCCCAGTGCAAGATTCAAATCTCGCGCGCGCCCGCCCCTGTTGAGCCTTACCCTACCTCACTGGGGCATCAGTGTGAATGACTGCGTGGTTTGCTGTCTGTTTGCGTACAGTGAACTTGCTCTATCAGTGATGGGGGTGAGGAGGGGGGTGTTTCCTTGATAACTTTCCTTGGTAAGTAGGGTATTGTTTTCTGCTTGTTTGTCTGGTGTTAGTCCCTGCTTATCTGAGAGTAAGGTATCAAAGAGGGTGCATCCTGTTCTTTTTGTTTCCTTTTCGGCTTTTTTTTTTTAATTGCCTCTTTTGAAAGGTATGTAAATGTGGTTTATCTCTGTGTGTCTGTTGATGGCTAATCTGTCTGGATGGCGGGAATTCCCAGCATTTTTGAGATTTAGCTTGGTGGTATAGGATGCCCTCAGTTTCCTAATTCAGGCTATCGGAGGGCTGAACTGGAATGCATGGAATGAGTGAATGAATGAATGAATGAATGAATGAATGAATGACCATCTCAACTTCCTGGAGGTTTACAGACCTGAAGGTTAGGTTGTCCTGATGCCTGGAGGGCATGCTGTAAGGCCTGGCTGAAGAGGTCATTGGTGATGGGTGTTCCCGACTGCACGCTAGAAGACATGGGAGATGTGCCGGAAGAATGGCCCTGAAAAAGGGGAAGACAGAAACTGTCA